TGATGCTTCAATTTCTCATTTTTCAACTTTACAATGCGTTTATTACATCTCAACATAAGTTGAGGAGCATCTGGACTTACAATGATCCGACTTACAATTTTTTGACTTTACGATGGTTTTATCTACGTACTAAATGAATTTTTGACTTAAGATATTTTTGACTTACGATGGGTTTACCTGGCTGTAAACCCATCATAAGTTGAAAGGCATCCGTATACAATCCTTCTCAAGTAATCAGAGAATATGGCTGCATTGAGAGATAGGAGAGTACTTCAAAAGTTCTTAGAAAGATTATTATTGTCTTTTAATTCTATTTTTCCACGAACTTTTTGTTGGTGTGTGTGTGTGTGTGTGTGTGTGTGTGTGTGTGTGTGTGTGTGTGTGTGTGTGNGCAACACTGAGGGTTGCAATCCATTGCCGGACACGGAAAAAGACCAAAAAAAGACAAAAAAAAAAAAATTTTTTTTTCTAAAAGATGTCCAGTAAGGGAATCTTAATCCTTGACTTAGTGTTGTCAATACCATGCTCTCCCAAGTCAGCTAACCAGCCATCCCTATATAGGGATCCGAACCTGTAGCCTTGGTGTTATCAGCACCACACCCTCCCAAGTAAGCCACAGGCCGGCCCCCTCACTTCATTTTTCTGCATGTCGGTATCCGGCTATCACAGCACCAGTTGTTGAAAAGGCTAGTATTTTCCCCATCAAATTGTCTTGGCACTCTTGATCACAATACAAGGGTTCAATCAGCTACAAAAACATGGGCTTATTTCTAGATTCTCAATTCTACTCCATTGATCTATAATGTCAGGCTAGCACCACACTATCTTATTACTCTAGCTTACAAATTTTTTAAGTCAGATAGTGTCAGCCTTCTAACTTCCCTAGAAGTTAGAAGTTTTGGCTATTTTGGATCCCTTGCAAATTCCATATGAATTTTAGAATCAAGTTATCCTTTTCTGCAAAAAAAGCAGTTGAGATTTTGATAGAGAGTGCGATTGCATTGAATCTTCAGATAAACTTGGGGAATACTGCCATCCTAAATAAGGTTAAGTCTTCTCATCAATGAACATGAGATCATACTCTATTAGTTCTAATATTTATTTTTATTTATTTTTTTTGGTGGCTGGCCATTATGGGGATCCAAGACCGTGACCTTGGTGTTATAAGTCTGCGCCCTAACCAACTGAGCAGACTGGCCAGTCCTAGTTCTAATATATTTTCATGTCTTTGTGGTATGAAAAAGATACTATCCAGAAATGATGGCAGTTCAGATTTTCCTTTCCAATTTTTACTGTTTGTTGTCTTGCTCAATAGCAGTGGTGACTGCTGGCATTCTTTTGTTCTTAAATTTATGGAAAATGCTTCTAAATGTTTCAACATTAAATATGATGTTTGCTTTAAGTCTCTTGCAAATACTTATCAAGTAAAGAGAAGTTCCCGTCTATTCCTAGTCTGATAAGCTTTTTT